TGTGGGTGGGATGGAGTTCAGGGTAGGGAGTGAGCGGGCGGAGAGGCCGAAGGGGATAAAGTGTGTGCACAGCACCACCGTTGCCCGGCAACCTGACATATAAGACAATGGATTTAAAATAGTCACGAGTTCGCGTCTCGGTGCCGGAGGTCTAATTGCAGTCATTTTAGCAGAAAACAAGATTAATTTTAGGAGACTGGATAGAAAATCACATAACTTCTTTACAGAACTTAAGTTGAATCTCAAAATTTTTCCTACTAAACTTCAGCTTGAGTAATATAGACTTAAAGATTATTGAACGAGGAAGTTTTTCTAAAAGTTAGGTAACTATAGGACAGTAAAAAGTAAAAAAAAATTATGGTTTTTTTTTAAACGGAAGTTCTATAAATGGTTATAACAATGACTAATCTACTTACGTTGAAGTAAATTTTGTCTGGTCTACAATGGCGCAATGTGTAATTGCTTACTTACTTATTTCCGGTGTTCTAACATGGGATACTTTTTCAGGTCAAAGCAGAATTCCACATATCTCTATCCTCCCAGTCCCCCTCCGGTAGACCTCGGCCGGCCATCCGGTGTGGTCTACCGGACTCCTTCCATCCACGTGGTTCTCGGTCGTCCTCGCCTACGCTTTCCGGGCGGCTGCCTGTCCAGGACTCTGTTCGGCCAATGCTCTTCCGACATTCTCCTGCAGTACCCATACCACCTCAACCGCTGTTTCCCGATCCTCTCTGAGACGGTTTCCTCTACAACTATTCTCTATTACACCTCTTCATTTCGGATTCTGTTCAGGTTCGTTAACGGTAGATACATTCTCCAAAAATCCATTTCTACAGTCCGAATTTTGGCATACAAGCCAGCATTCATCGGCCACTCCTCACAGCCCAAGATTAATATGGACTGGTCAATAGCTGTGAAGATACGTCGCTTGTTCACGTTTGAAATAGTGTCGTTCCAGAGAACAGGATGCAGCATTCTAGTTGCTTTTATTGCCATCTCTACCTTGTTTCGGACATCCACTTCGGACGTCCCAAAATCGTCCAGATAGTACCCGAGGTATTTAAATGCCTTTACTCTCCTGCCCATCTGTTCACCTATACATAGATCGTCTTCCTCATCTCCCAGTGCTATAAAATCAGTCTTTGGAAATTTATCCTGAGACCTGCCTCTTCATAATTTTTTTTTAATTGAGCAGCCACCATCTCCAGGAAAACTTTCTTCTGGGCCATCACTACCTGATCGTCTGCAAAGAACAGGGTAAGGAGCTCGCCGTCATCAAAGTAAACTCCGGAATCCTTGCGTCATTGTTTCACTATCTCATCCAAGTATTTCTTGAAAATGCTTGGAGACAGACAACACCCCTGTTTCAGCCCTTTGGTTCCAGAAAATGGTTCCGAGAGGCGGTTCCAATCTTCAATGAGTGTTCCAAGCGTCAACCAGCTTCCATACAAGTGTTGCATTGCTTGTACCATGGATTCATTCATTCTCAGTGCTGGCCATATTCTTTTCCTAGGAACACTATCATATGCTTGCTCCTGAACAATGAAGGCTAAATGAAGCTAACTATTCTTCGCCCTGCATTTCTCAATGAGCTGCGGGCGTACAAAAAAAGTACAGGATCTTACGGAAGTGAAACCAGTTTGTACCACTGGTGTGGTGTACTCCTTTTCAAGCTTATTCCGGACAAGTCTCCCAATAATCCTACTTACTGAGCTCTGCACACAGATACCGCTATAATTCTGTCATTGCTTCATATCTCCTTATTTAAAGATGGAGCAGTTATATCCTGTTTGGAGATCATCAGGCAGATCACATCTTTTCAGAACCATATTCGCTACTCTGGTAAGGAGTGTAAGCATCTTACCTCCACCGGACATTAAAAGTTTCACATACAAGCCCCAGGTCCTGGAGATGTTCCGTTTTTAGCCGAATTACTTAAATCAAATATTTTTTATGTTATCGCTTCTCATTCAACAAAATAGGTGACTCGCTTAAAAAAACACAAATCTTAAATTTGCTGGGGGAAAGTGGGCAATTGGTTAAATGAACTGTTTGTAGATCTTAATGTATACTATCAATCATTTAAATATTTCCCTCTACTTACGGGACACCCTGTATACAAAAGTTTTAAGTGACAGTGTATTTTTTTATTTTACACATACAAAGCGGAATGGACCATAAAAAAGATATCTCACTTCTTATACCAAGAATTATTTGTCCCTCATTATGGTCACAGATTAGAAAGAAGAATAATTATAATTATACATCAATATTAATTGAGAGTAGTTGGAGGGTAGATAGATAGATTTTTGAAGAAATTAAAATGTTTTCCGAACAGTGGTTTCGTTCCGTTTATTTTGTATTGATAAAAAACCATACAATCTGAAATACATAATACGTGTAAATTCAGAGATGGGCAAATGCTACTCTGAGTACCGAGTACCAAGTATTTTACTCAAATTGAATCACTATTGGGAATTCAATCAGGATAGGATTTGTGACTGGGGAGAGCTAACAAGTTGAAGTTGAATGCAGAAAAGACGAAGGCAATCTTAATAGGATCCAATCACCACCTTAAAACTTTTTCTAATATTCCAAATTTGTTCCTACATGATAATGCCTCCATCAAAAGCCTTAGAATGATCTTTGATCAAACGCTTTCCTAGAAAAATTATGTATCCAACATCTCTCGCCGTACCAATTCCACTTTAAAAAGTCTAAATTACTCCCGTCAGCTATCAACTATTAACTATTACTAGGCTCCTAGTAACTTTCTTAATTTTTTCCCACATTGTCTATTGCTGTACGGTATGGGGGGGGGTCATCTCTGAGGATCTCGAGGCAAAATTAAAACGTTTGATAAATTGCTTTGTACGATTCATCTTCGGGATCCCCAGGGACGACTGTGTTTCCCGTTTTTATGCCGAGTTGAAGTGGCTTTATCCTTCCTACCGTCTTAAGTATTTCCTTCCTCTTTCAAGTCATCCAATCCTACCGTCCTTCATACATCTCCGAGCTCCTGCAATTGAAATCCTCTGTTCGTTCCCCCAATATCCGTTCCCGATCTTTATTATTTATTTTTTTTGGGTCCTCTCCTTGGTTGCCTTTAATGCTATACTTGGTTTTCCTGGGCCAGGGAGCGTGGCCTGGTATTTAAAAGACGCCTTCGTCACCGGGACGCGAACTCGTGCCTATATTTTATCATTGTATCATATATCATGCCACCCCGCCCACCCCGTTCCCGATCTTCTGATTTATATATAAGGGCCCAGCGAACCGCCGCTTTCGACAGATCGTTCATTATCCGATCCTCATCTCTATTGAACTCCATCTCTCCCCACATCCTTCAATCCAATACCCTTCCAACCTTTAAATCTCGCCTGTTCAATCATTTCTTATCCATCCGGTTAGCATAAAATTGTAAATAGTTACTACTGTAAATATGTACATATATTATTAGATCGTTCTTCATTATTTTTACTTCATGTTTATTTTTTATTATTAACTGATTTAAATTAGAAAGCAACTTATAATTTCTTTTATTATTCTTTATTATGACTATTTAATTACTCTATATTTTAGTTCATGTATCTCTGAGGCTTCTTAGCCTACACTTTTGTCTTTCTGTATTATTCTAAAGGGACTCGTCCCAGAATAAATGAAGCATTATTATTAATATAAAAAGCTTAAATAAACAATGGTCTAATTTTATTTATTTATCAACTAATAGAAAAGTAGGAAATTTAGGTTTTGTGTTTTGGTGTTTTAGTGTCACGGTTTTTGTTGAATAGAAAACGATTACTAAACAAATATTTAATTTAAGTAACTAACAATTGCTTTAAAGTAATTTAAACAAAATTTACTCAAAACAAAAGTGCAGTGTTTCATTGTTAAAACCACTGAAAGAGGGATTAAGAGCAAATAAACTAAGCTAAGCTCAGTTTTTAAAAATATCATGAATGATTCGTAATTTTTTATATTTTTTATCACCTCTCAACTATACCAAAATTACACCACTTTTTAAAAAAAAATCTTGTTTAATGAGCTTTAGGTCTATATTAATTGAGTTGAAGTTTCTTACAAAGTTGTGTAAAAAATCAATTAGTTTGATATCCTGTCACTTAAAAGCACCCGGGTTGTCAGCAAAAATCACTGTCGTAAATTATTGCAAAATTTCAAATTCTTTTTTTTTTCATTATCAGGAATATATTACAATAAACACATATTCATAAATACTATCAAAATCTATCCATAAACGGATTAGCATTATTAATCAGCTGTCATGTCAGAATTATTTTTTTCACTTTTATTTATTATTCATTTAACTGACTATTATATTTGTTCTTATATATGTAAGTCTATCTCAATAAATGTTAGGAATTATATTTGAACATTGTCTGTAGGTTGTATAAATGAAAAGTTGTATTATAACATAAACAACCTTTACAATTCAAATTAGGATTCAAGTTTATAACAGAACTTCAATGTTTGGAACCTATGAACCTCTTTGCTTGAGTTATCATTGGCGGCTTTGTTAACAGAGTTCTAGAAGGTTCCAGATCTTCAGGCCGAGTGTTTAAGTGAAAATTGTGGTCAATTGGATATTGGTCTGTTCACGCTTTTATACCTGAAGTAAATTCAATTTTTTAAATGTAATTTTTATCATTGTAATATGTAGTGTCAATCAACCAAGTAATATTGTACATTGAACTATCTTGATTTATTCAATACCATGAATTAGTTGTAAAATAAATATATTTCATATTTATAATCAAACACTATTGTTTTATATTTAACTTAACTCCTTCTTTAGTTTTAATTAAATTAGGATTAGGCTGTAACTTGGACTTAACCATTGCAAACAAGAAAGTATTTTAGTTGGTGATGTGTTGTAATTACTTGTAGATTTTTTTAGTTTAAGTATTCTTATTAGTATAAATGTCCTATTGTTATTCCTTATTGTTCTATGTCCAATTTAATTTTTGTTCCTAGATATTAAAATGGCTCGTTGGGGCGAAGGTGACCCTAGATGGATTGTTGAAGAAAGGCCTGATGCAACTAATGTTAATAATTGGCATTGGTACGTTATAGAATAAATATGTTCATTATTTATTTTCATATATTATTATTATATATTATATAGTTATCATATTATTATCTTTCGCAAATAGAACATATCACCATATTTGAAAGTTATGTATTATTTTGCAAACTTTGAGAAACTTGATTGTGAAAAATCTATTTAATAGTTTGCTGGATAGTTTTCCTTCTTTAGTGAAATGGCCTTCATAGACGTAACTGTAATTTTAGTTTAGTGTTAGTGGTTTAGTGATCGTAATAGGGAAGTTATATTTCTGGTGGAAGAGATAATTCTGTAAATTTTCTTATTTGGCACTGCTATTATCGTAACTCATGTTTAAATAGTTGCGGCAAGAATTCCCTTGCAAAAACATCTTTCGTATAATATTTTTTGCTCTCTTTGATAATTCTTGTTTTTTTTTATGCTATTGCTGGTATTTTTGTATTATTATCTTAAATGGAGTCGTACTAAGAACGTTTATGTGAACTTGAAACTTAGTTTTTTCGATTTCGGATGCTACATCATCAATTGTTCTTCCATATTTCATAATAAACCGTTATTATTACTTTCACTTACATGTATATGAAATATATAGTAAGGACAGTATTGCGACATAGAAATGTTTAAATCTTAGTTTTCTACAGAGATACATGTCTTGAGGTCTCCTGAGTCCAAATAACCTAGTCCTGTAAAATGGTCTGCGAGTGTGTGTGTGTGTGTTTGAACAGTCTAACTCAAAAACAAAAAGTCGTATGCATCTGAAATTGCATATTTAAGGTTTGCATATACCTGAGATGTTACAGCAACGTTTTCATCAAAATCGGCTAACCGGAAGTGCCCCTTTATAGAATCGATTAAGCACATTTTTATGATTTTCTCAAAAACTGCTCTAATGATTTTGATTAAGCTCAGTATATCAATGTGTTATTAAGCAGTTTTTAATACAATATAGGTATTCTTCTCATTGATGTTCTCTAACAGAACTTAAATGACTAATTTTCAATATTAGCTTCTTCTAAAGTACCTTTAATTTTTTCATTTGCAATAATTAAGCATTTCATATAAATAATTGATATGAAAATAGTTAAATTTAAAATATGAAAGAATTTTATGATTAACTAAAGGAGAAATAAGAGATCGTATAACGTATAATAGTTGTAATGGAGGAACCAATGGAATACGAGCATGCCTCAGCTCGCCCGAAAGATTATAACAGACTTCCATATGTAAGGCTTTATATAATACGGACTCCGACAATATTATGTACATATACTTATTCGATTTTCATTAATGCTTTCATTGGTATTATTTAATATTTAATTGGATAGATTACAGCTATATAAAAATTAAAATTTGTATATTTAAGTGTAATTGAACAAATAAAAATGCCCACAATGAAATATAAATAAATACAGCGTCTATAATTTTTACTTTTACTTCCCCTTTGTCTGAAAATGCTTATTTCTGCTAAGAAGAGGGTGGTAAGTGAAAGTCGTGTGATGTGTACACCAGATTTTTTTTTATTAGAAGCCATATTTAATTACTAATTGGTGCACAAGATTTCTGATATAATTTTAAAACATATTTATTTTTCAGGACTGAAAAAAATGCTAATGGGTGGTCAAAGGATAAACTAAAAGAACTTTTAGTTGGTCTTAAACTTGAGTCTGATGTCGCAATTGTTGAAATTACTGAGATGGAAAAAATTGAAGGTGAGGCAGTTGTCAATAATCGGAAAGGAAAACTTATATTCTTCTATGATTGGGATATGTCTCTTGTATGGCAAGGCAGATTGAAAGGTAGTACAGGAGAACATGAAGGAAAGATTAAGATACCTAATCTCAGTGAAGAAAATGATCTTTCTGAAATTGAGGTGAGCTTTCATAAATACTTCAGTTGTACCTTAAATTTTTTTTATGTTTTATAAAATGAAATGGATCTATGGCCTTGTTTATATATTTTGTTTTATATAATCACAGTAAATAATTATTTATCTCATTTTTGTCATAGATATTAGTCACTTTAAAAGAATCTACAAATGAAGGGGAAATTATTAAAGAATACTTACATCATCAAGGAAGCAAGGAAGTTAGAGAAAAATTAGGCTTATATATCACCTTATTAAAAGAAGGTTTGTATAAAGCTTATAATATAAAGGCTAATTTGTTTTTCTTTTCATTGTATTTGTTTCGTTCTCTCAGATCTTTGGATCAATATCTGCATCCTGTAAAACCTTCAAGGGAATGTAAAATATTTCACCTAAACAAAAATTTTCTCACAATCCTGCACTTCTCAAGCAAAACAGGTTTTTGAGCAGATTTTAAATACCCTAGGTCATATTACATTATGTTATTTAGTACCCTCTCTTGTTTCTTTCAATATCAGACCATTCAAAGAAAATATTGTAGTCACGATTACTTTTTCTAGGTGAAAAAGTGCTTTTAACTTCTAGATCGAGTTAAAAGCACTCTATTACTAACTGAAAAACATATACATTGAATTATATTGAATATTTAATAGTTGACCGTTGCATTATATAGGAAGGAGATGGTCCAGGGGCGGTCATAAATAGGCTAAATAGTGGTAAAACTATTTTATTGAAAGCTGCCATTTCGCCCCAACTTTGCAGGTCTTCTTCAGGGAAGTGTGTTCAGATAGGAGTTTCACTTAGAACTGGAAAACCAATTGTAAGGACAGGTCTAGGAGAAGCTGACTTGACTCAAGTTTTTATGTGGCCAGGCGTTGTCATGCAACAAAATGGGCTCCTTCTGATTTACCAAAAGTGGCTTCATTTTTGCCAATTTCTAATGCATTGCATTAATTTGGTTAAAATATGATTCCCCATTAATGATTTCTCCAGGATTTAAGATGGTGTCGTGTATCACTCTAAATGAAGCCCACTAAACAGTAATCATCACCTTTTTTTTTAATGATTTGGGGACTTTGGAAAATGTTCTGCTGCTTCTCCTTTGTCGAGCCGCTGTCCAGAATGTCTGCTGTTATCATAAAGTTAACACTTTTCACTACAAGTAATAATTCTGGACAGTAAAGTGTCATTTTTGTTTGAGCAAAAGTGTGTAACACAAACTTCATAATGTTGATTTTTTGAGGCGGTCATGGAACCCAATTATCAACCTTTTTACCTTTCAGATCACCTTGAGGTGGTCATCAACGGTCGATTTCCTAAGGTTAAGTTTTGCTGCAAGTTCACAAACAGTTGTTCTGAGGTTTCCTTCCACCAAAGCCATCAGAACATCGTCATCAAGAGGAAGTCCTTCCACGACCTTCTTTGTCTTCACTGCCACCATTGAACAGTGCCACCATGGTCTTCACCATTGAACAGTGCACTCATTAATGCTGCTCTCGGCCCAGACTTGATTGATGTTTCTGGCTGTCTGGTCCCCAACTCGTAAATCAAAGTTATACAAAAATCATGCGTTCACATTGACTTAGTAAAGACTTGAATTATTTCTAAGCAGTGAAATGCTATAGAGGTTAACAAGCATTATCGTTTGGAAGAGAATAAATAAGTGTTGACATTCATAACAAAATGAATAATCCAGTAAATGTAAACAGTTTGTTATATAATGGAGTATTTTAAAGAAAACTCAAAATCCTACATTATTTTCTGGACAACACAATAGTTATTATACCATCCATACATGGTAGACTTAACGAATTTTACTTGAGTTAGTTTTTTGGATATTAATGTTCAGTATTTGGCTTAATTTAATCATAATTAACTCTTTATTAAAACTGGATAGTCAGAGAATAATAAAACCTGAATTATTATACAGGCTTTCTTTTTTACTTTCATGAATTTAGTTTTTGCCGGGTAAATATCCATGTTGATATTTATGACAAGCTGCTCTTGTATGATGTTTACATCATGTTGTAGGTCCAGGCTATAGGTAGAAATCATGAAGTGATCATTAGCAAATGTGAGTACTTTGTAGAGAGTAGGTTGCAGCTTCTTGTGCACGAGTTTAAAGATACATAACCTAAATTAAGTTCTACTTAAAGCCCAGTATAGAACAAATAAAAATAGTAGAGGACTTAAAGTGGATCCAAAATTTATTCTCTGTGTCATCGTAAACTCTTTGGAGGTCCTTATGACAGAGAAACATTATGGTATGCAATTTATAAGAATATGAGGAGTCTGGGTGTAGTTCTTTCCTCAATGTAATACTGTTTTTACATTTTTTTTTTTACTCTTTGTTTTTTAAAAAATGACAATGATCTCTATTCTTCTTATCCTCTCTGCTAAGTGCTGCCAATGTGTATTTTGCTGCTTTATTTGCATAAATAGCAAACTTTTGTTTCAGTTTATCATAATGTTCGAGGATTAGTTCACTTTTGAAATATTATCACAATCTCCTTTATCTTTTTTTTTAGCCTTATTTGTGTTCTTGAAGTTATCATTCTGATGGGTCTCTATAATTCTGCTGTTTTGCCTTCCAATCTTCTTTTCCGAGGAGATTGTATATTAGTTTTTTCAGTTCAAAGTTTCTTTTAGGTTTTAGGCATCACTGTCTTTCACTTTTAAATCTGGAGGAGATAACATCATTTTAGCTTCTATCAGATCTGTTTTTATTAAATCCATCATGTTTTTCTAATATCTTGTTAATCTTTGACTATTTTATAACTAAATACTTTGTAAGGTGTATGTGACAGTGGAGGTCTTTCTTCCATGAGGATACTATCCTATTTCATGACTTGAGTAAGCTATTCTTCCAAGTTTGCTTCTTCTTCATTTTCTTGATTTTACTTTTCTTTGTAAGTGCTAATTTATAATTAACTGTTTTGCATAAAAATATGTTGACTGTTATTTCTAAAGAATCCACAGGAACCCTGGTGTGATTTAATCCACTCTCATCTTTAATTATTTGAAGATTTATAGAACCAACAAATTGCCTCTTATTTATCGCACTTGTCTGCTCTAAGGTCTGCTAGCCTTAGTGCAGTGTTACATTAATTTCCGATCAGTAACCTTGGACTCTTCCAAGGTATTCTGTTCTGAATTTCAAGCTAAGTAATAACCTCTCATGACCTCTTTGTCCATTCAGGTTTCCACTTTTTATTCAGGCATCCATTTAATACTTATAACAGCTATTCTTGGTCTCTATTGCCGAGTGCGAGTGGGAAAATTCTCCACTGTCTGAACTCTTCCAAACACGATTTCTGATAACGTGCCGTTGATTCCAATGTTATGGTCTGTAGGCATAGGCTGACATGACTTGGTTCTCCAGTTCCTTTCCATTCCTGAAGGATGCTGTCAAATATTCCTGGTTAAAGCAATAACATTAACAGGTTCACCTGAGGCTATAAGTTCATTATCTGACTCCATGATGGTCATGGAGATTGCATTTTATACCTTCTGACAGATGTAACTTCAGGCTTTTCCAATTTTGAAATGGACCCTGAACAGTAATCTGTCCAGTATGTAAAAAGTTGGTAACTATTCACTACTCTGTAACCTCGGGAGGCTGAAAATTCCTCTGATGCTTTAATATTACTTTTTTTTCTTATAATTTTTATCATTTTATTTTCTGACTAAAATATTTTGAAGCAATATATCTTTTGAAGGATTATTATCACATATAAATATCCCTTTAAAATCTTGCACAGTTAGTGGTTTTTGTTTTATTATTAATTAAAAAAAATATTTATTCATCTTATGATAATTATCATTTAATAATTATTCATCTCTCTTTTAGAGTTTCCTAAAGGAATGATCTTACCTAGAAAAGATGATAGTGAACAAGCTAAAGAAGCTCAACAAATTTCTAACCTTAGCAGTGGATTTTCAACCAAGGTTTGTGAAAGTTTTGAATCAACTATACAATATTTTAAAAATCTATTGTTTGTATTGAAATATAAAGTATATTTAAGTTAAGAGGGAAAACTGCCAAAATATTTTGTCATGTACATTTTGCGTCTAAATCTGTTTAGTCCAGGCATTAGATGATTCCGATTGTGACTATTCCCACCCAGTCTGGTTTGTTTTATGGGGTGCTTAATATTACCGTATCATACATACTGTAAGTTTATATATTCATACTGTTTTTATCCTTTTATCTTATTAATTTCTCTATACTGCTATCCTGATCCGATATTGTCTACAACTTTTCTCAATACTTGTATTTTCATTTTATTTATATTTACCTTCAGTATTTCTTTTTGGTTATCTTGTTTTTCCTTAGTCCTGATGAAGTCATAAAACTTAGACAAAAGTCTCAGTCACAATAAAATAATTCTTCTTATTTGTATGTAATTTTATCTCCACCCTTATGCATGCAAACTATTACAATTTTTTTTTTTTTTTTTTTTAATCTTATGAACATTTATTTCAAATATTTACTACTGCATTGGTTTTTTGTTATATTTATTTTTTAATATACATCACAACATGCATTATATTTTTTACTTACTTGAAAGAATGAACTAAGTGAAACAATTGTTCAACTTAATTCCTCATAAAATTTGAATTAACCAAGATTAACTTCAAAATACTACTATATTTTGATTGAAACAGTCTAGCCTTATTTCTAAGACCTATATAAAATCATGAATATTATTAGTCTAAATTTAAGCTTAATATTCATTATTATAAGTAATGAAATAATTATTATAAATAATTTTGTTTAGGTTCGGAGCTTCTGATTTAAACTAAGTGTCATTAATTGTCTGTATATTGGGTCCATTTTCCATTATTGTTATTAATTCAGAGTAATTTGTTTTCAGATGAATGTCAATCAATCTAATGACAGGATATCATCACCAAATGACAATAACAAAAAGAAAATAGAAACTAGTAGCCTTAAAATTAATCAGACATTCCAGTGCCGGGGAGAAGATTTTTATAGAGCAATGACTACTCCAGAGGTTACTTACTTATCTTCTTAATGATTAGCTTTTAGCTAGCATTGCTGATACTGTTACACGAAATAATTGTTCTCTTCTTATTAGTTTTAAATAAAAGGCTTTGCCAGATCTAATTAGTCATATATTTTACCTTTTTGTTTTAGTTTATTATTGATGTTACAAATGCTTAAGAGTTTAATGACTCTAACTTAGTAATAATTTAAATGTTTTTTAATTAAGTAATAATTGAAATATAATTATATTGATTTAATTGAAATAATGATTAAAGCTTGTTTATTTTATAATTTCTTAATATTCATTTATTTTTTTAGATGGTAGCTGCCTTTACAAATGGTCCTGCAAAAGTTGAAGCCAAAGAAGGAGGGAAATTTGAATTGTTTGGAGGAAATATTTCTGGTGAATTCACTGAACTGGTAATTAATTCCGATTTTTTTTTTTTTTTTTTGGGAGAAGCGAGAGTTTGATGTAACAATATATATCAATCATTATTTTTTTCTGAGCATTCTGATAAGATTTTTGGTATCACCAGAAACCTGTAAACCAGGGGAAAGATGCGGGCTTACGTATTGTGTAAATCACGAATTGCCAGGTAACAGATAACAGAAGATTAGGAATTCGAATCATGGTATGAGGGACTTTTCTTGTTCTAAGATTGTATAAAGAGATGATGTTACTGAAATCATGATCAACTGCCAGGTTTCCCTTCCATTGAGGAGTATAGTGTGTCCAAGATGAGTTTGCTGTTGGGGAAGGGAGCTTGCACAGCCTTCTCCCTCTCAAGTTCCATCTCCCCAAAACCTCTATCAAGCTCCACTTTCCCTCCTCTCTCACTCAGCAATCGCCTCAAACCGGGAACACGTTTGATTTTATTCAAATTTCGCGCACACATGTTTATTAAAGGTAGAGATTTTAATCTTAAAAGAAAATAAATCGTTGGCAAGGATGGCTAAATCAAAATAATAAAAAAAAATGTGACTTTGCAAGATCTGCTGTTCAGAGAACTCGATGTTATTACTAGGGCCCGGATCTGTAGATATAACTTTACCTTCCTCAGACTCAAATAGTTCCATTTTTTGTTATATTATTTTCTAATGCTTTCATGACAAATAACCTTATATTACGAGGGTTTCACTTCTTTTTCTCACTAAATTGGTATAATTAGATATTTAAGGATGAAATCATACATACAAATTCGAGAATATATTTAATTGAATCAAAGTCAGAATGACCCCAGATAAGATCTTTTTTTGTCCAAAATTTACAAAACAAATTTTTATTTGGTGGAACATAGTGAATTAGTGAATTAGAGTGGGGGATCGGCAGAAAAACTTTTGCTACTGTGCATCTCTATCCTGCTCTACCCACTGGTAAACTTATCTTGGACGTGCTCTATTCCCTTTAAGGTTGAGTGTAGCCTATTAGAGTCTTCTGACCCTATGGTTATTCCATGGCTTATATAACAGAATAAATTCTATATTATTATTATTATGATTAAAAATTACCCGCAACCTGGAGCATAGAAATACAGTGCTTTTATTATGAAAATGTGTAATATTTCAAGAATAATGAATCTGCTTCTTGTTTTTATTTTATTTTTTATTATGATAAATATCTTAAACAAAAATTATTTATTTAGGTTCCTAACAAAAAGATCACACAAAGGTGGAGGGTGAAAGCTTGGCCTCAGGGTCACTATTCTACTGTCTCCATAATTATTGATCAACAAGACGACCATACCTTAATTAAAGTATCACAGACAGGCGTGCCTCAAAAGTAAGTCCTTCTTGTTAGCTTGGCCAACATTTATTTGTTATTATTATTTTATTACTATTCTTCATATTAATATTTAAGGTTATAAGACATAATTTTAAAGTAAATAAATTACCATTTGTGCCATAATACTAGATTTGTTTTCCAAGCCCAATCCAATTTTGCTATAATCTACCATAAAATGTTTTTGGGTGTCAAATTATCAGAAATTTCTTCAGAAAGAAAAATTGTAAAATATTTTACGAAGGAAATAGTTCAGGAGTCAGCCAGAAATAACATCAAATAACTTTCAACTATTTGTTTATTCTTTCTATCTTTAAGAGTTGTTGGTGTTGTATTGTTTGTTTTTTGTTATATTTCTTGGTTCAGGCCAATCTTCTTTGAGAACTACATAACTTCTTCGACAAGGTTTTTGAGTTTAGCTGGTGATATAAAATAAAATGATATTTTATTTTCAAGATTACATATTGAATCTGGTGTACTAATATCAAACACTTAATCTCCAACATATTACTACAATGTTTTTTTCTTTTCTTGTTTATTAAAAACAATAAATAATTTTTGTTTCAGCGAAATGGATGGTACAAAAGAAAATTGGAGCCGGTATTACTGGGATGCTATCAAAAGAACTTTTGGTTGGGGATACTTCATGTGATCTACGCTTAGGATCGGCAATTTATTATCCACAATGATCATCCTGTCCATTGGGTGTTTCGAACTTATTCAGTCCTTACATTCATTCAATAGAGCATTTTTAAACTTTGTTTTCATCTATAATATGATTTTTTTAAATTTGATCAGTTTATCAATATGGTTGTGGATATAATCCTCTGTGAGCTATTCTTTCTATGTTTTATTCAACAGGGCTTAAATTGGTCCTATTAAGTTGTCATTATTAAATTATATATTGTTTTTAAACATAAATTTATTAATTTTCTTAATTTATAAGTCATGAAATGATTTATAAATCATCTTAATTAAGCCAGTCTGTTGTAAATGTTTTGTTATGTCTTAGGGTTAATAAACTGTAGATTTTTTATTATTTATAGTAGGAATATGACAGTGATGTTAGTACTCAATTCTTGTAATTTATATTACTTGTGTCATGCATAAAATCAGACAAATTTTCTTTAATTACTTAGCTTGTTTCCAATTTCCTGTTGGTACTGTTTTGTTATTATTGAATCTGCTTTCAACAATGAAGGCCAAGCATACATAATAAATAAATTATTTTTAATAGTATTTTTGTTTATTTTTTTTTTTAATGATTTGTTAGTGTTTTTCATGATACTGAAATGTTTCATAACAATTGTAATTTTATGAACAAATATGATTATTTCTAGATAAAAGATTTACAATTCCATTAACAACTGATAGTTTTGTTAGTATATTTTACAACTCCTGTGTGAGAAACTTGTGAGTGGTGCACGTGCTCACACGTGCAATAGTGGTGCTTTTGTATACACATTTTTTATTGTTCAATAAATTTCTACATTATTTACAAAATACTATGTTTTGTTTTAATTGTAATTATAATTGGGTTAAAAAATATTTTATGCTAACCATAATTAGAATCAAAGCTCTCTGTTTTCTTTTCATCCTTATCACTGAGTATAGATTGATCCAGATGTTATTCTCAATTTGTCTGGTTTTATAATGATATATTTCTCTTTTTTTCTATGAAAAAGTGATCCTTTTATACTTAGTTAAAACATTTTATTTTTTAATGATATGACGCTAAAATTTTAGTTCTTCCTGTGATCATTAATTAGTAGGCTATACCTACTTAAAAATGTTTGTTGTGCAAATTGTTTTAGTATACTGCTTGAAGTATTTATTTAATTTGATTTTAAATTAAAACAATTATCATTCCTTTGAAACAAATCATTGTTTAAACTACTGACCCTTGTTACTGTACAAGTTTGGAGCTTAATTTTTGTTGCAATAAATATTAAAGAAAATTAATGTTTTGTTGATTTTTATTAATATTTGTGGATTTTCACAAAAAAAAAATATAACCTCCATTTTACTTATCCACCAATAAAATTTTATAATAATACTGCAAGAATGAGTTAAATTTTAGGTTTTATTAAATAGTGAAATTTTAAGTTTCTGCTAATTATTTTTTTATTTCCTCTTAACATGTTAGCTTCTACAAGAGGTGGAAATTAGCAGAAATATAACCATCGTGTTTTTTTCTTTTTAAGTCCTAAATAAATTTGTATTGAAATTTTGAGATGGGAACTGATTGCTCTGCTGGTCCGGATTTTATTTTTTGTCAAAAGTTGTTTTGTTTATCTGCTAAACCAGCGCGATTGACTGGCCAGTCTGCTGGTTTAAGTGGGTTCTCAATTTTACGGTTCATCAAAGGTGAATCATCGTTGTAAACATATTTTATTTGTATACTATTTCTGTTTCACAGTATTGTTCATGTCTTGTCTCATTCAGGTGTTGACTGTGCTGTTAAAAACGACTTCTGAAAGAAGTCATGGAATTTGGCATTATTTTTATTTCACAAGTACTGATTCAAAAACTGGATGCTGGGTTTAAAGGTGAAAATCCTTTAGAACATACTATTAAGTTCCACTATTCCATATTTTAATTTCTTTTATTTCTGCTACTGCCTTTCACATAGCTATGTCTGCCTCTAAACCATACTCTCTTTGGTTTATCCGTAAATGGTCACTTACGATACTGTGTAGTATAAAGTGTAAATAATGAATATAAAAATAAAATATTACCTCATCAATTCCACCTTTTTCTAGAACCTAAATAAGTTCAATAATAATATCAAAATAAATTTATACTCAATAAAAACAGTTTACAAGCAAATATTTTTTCACAAGTTTATTGCTAAAAATCATCTCAATAGTTTAACTTTTTTATGGACATGAGTTTTATCCATTGTTCCAGTTTTTATATTTTTAAACTATTATTTTTAAAATACTTGTTTAGTGCATAGGAGGAAGAAAACCTTTTTATCATAAGAGGCTGCGTTAAGTATAGTGATAGTGGAGGTCACAATAATTTTATATATATTTTTTATTTTTAAGTAAATACAATCCCATATACATACATATATTCAGCTTAATTCTATTAATTTTCAAATTTTTGTTACCTAAATAATTATATTTTAATTAATTCTAGCACTAGATTAATAAGGATCTTGAAAAAGCTGACAGTAAAACTTCTATCAAATTACCATCATAGAGACAATAATCAAATTTCACTTCAATTTTTTTAACTATACTAATACATTATAGCCTATAGTAAAGCCTCAAAATGTCATTAAACCTTAAGGTGTTGATATATATTAATTTATTATTTATCTCTTAACATGTACAAAGTAAGTTACTGGTGGGTCAAACCTCCCATAGTACATGGTAAGGCTCCCATACTGTGGGAAGATTGACCATGGAATTTAGGTTTTTTGTATTATATATATATATATACATATACATTTTAAAAACAGTATATAACAACTTTCAATGTGATGAAGCAATAAATTATAAACATTTCAATATAATTAAAAATTTTTTTAGTGCAACATAAAAAATACTAAAAAATAAAAAAGCGAACTATGAGCAACTCTCCCCTGTATATTTTTAAAGGTAAATCAGTCAAAAACTCACCAAGGGACAGAAATTCAAGATCAAGTTATTATTGCAAAAATTCCAACCTCATAGCCTTATGTCTCCAAAATGAAGGTAAATAATAAAAAAAAAAAGTCAACGTTTCGGCAATTCAGGTATCATCAGGGCAGAAAAGAAAAAAAATCAAAGTTCACATCACTCAACGACATTCAACCACATACTGATAAAGTACTGTAACGTACACCTTTATTGAAAGTAAGTAAAAAGGTTTTAATAAATTAATGTTGAACACAATTAAAAGGCAAAGTAATCTAGTTCTAATAGATAGAAAAATAACTTTATTCTGGGACACAGTCCCTTGAGAATAACAAATTAGAACAAAATTAAAATATTACATCTGGCCAAAACAAAATAAATCGAAAAAAAGAAATAATGTAAAAAAAATATAAGGTAAAAACTCTATATACAAAACAAACTAAACTATATACAAAACCATTAATACTATTACAAGAAACTTAAAGCTATTTAGACCAGTATACACTTTTCCGAAAAAAATAAAGAATTAAAAAATAAAAATATATCAAATTCTCTATTAAAATCCACTCGAATGGTTAGCAAGTATCTGACTGTTTTTGTGATAGGAATTGGAATAGGAGGGATTTGAATGTGGATATGGAGGGGGAATGTCGAATTTTGATAGGGAGGGAATTCCAGAAATTGACAGAGCGAACAATAAAGGAATTTTGGAATGAGGCAGATCTGTGAGAAGGCATGTAAAGGTCAGAAGGTCGAGATCTTGTGGACAGGGAATGGACTGAGGTTTTGAACTGGAGAAGGTTGTAGGCGTAAGAAGGACGATGGTTGTTGATGATTTGGTAGAGGAACGTACCTAGAAAGTATTGTCTTCGGAAGGAGGGGTAGAGCCACCTTAACTCAGTGTAGTGGTGAGAGACATGGGAGTACCTCGGGGCACCAATAACAAATCTTACGCAGCTATTCATTAATCTTTTCAGTCTATCACGGAGCTCCACCGAGAGGCCATCATACACCACACAGCTGTAGTCAAAGTGGGGGAAGATGAGAGAGGAAATTAGGAGTCTACGGATATGTTGAGGTAGGAGATGGCGGAAGCGATGAAATAGTTTAAGGGTAGAGATTGTCCGACGGGAAATGTGAGAAATATGGTTGGTCCAGGAGAGGGTTTGATCTATGAAAAATCCTAAATTTTTAACAGAGGAGTAGAAGGAAATTGGCTGGTCATTAAGGTGTAATATGGGAAAGTCAGTATGGGATCTAATGAGGGGCTTGGAACCAATGACGATGGCCTGAGTTTTGGCAGCATTTAACTTTAATCCATTTACATTTGCCCAGGCATTGATTCGATCAAGATCTTCTTGAATCTTGGCAAATGCCCCCAGTAACTCAGAGGGAGAAAAGGATAGGTAGATCTGGGAATCATCTGCATAAAGGTGATGGGAACAATGGAAAATTGATTTAGGTAGGTCGTTAATGTAGGAGCTGAAAAGGAGAGGAGATATGCTTGAACCCTGGGCAACTCCAAGTTCTACTAGTGCAGGGAAAAGAAAATGGCTGCTCTGTAGTTTCCCAAGAAGGAAAATCCCAAAGATGAGAGGGACAAAGGTTTTTGTTTTGGCAAGCAGTTTTTGTGTAGCTATAGTGAAGAGAGGATAGGAGAAGGGACCTGGCTCCAGTGGGTAAACCCAGTAATAGTATTACCGTTTTGGAAGTTATGTGGCAGAACTTTGGAAAGTGTTTAAAAACGAATGAATTCAGTCCCTAGGGTCCGATATTCATCTTGACCACCAAGCGGCCGGGATTGTTTCGAATTTTGTCTATCTTACAAAGTCTCTAAAATAGTAATTTTTAAAAATTGTCTCTGGTCTCTGAGGTCACAGCTAGCTCACAAACCCCAGCTGTGGTCTAGTGCTAACCTGGTCTGATCAAACCCTACAGGAGGGAGGTTGCCAGTCCAATGGTACTGGAGCTCTTATGTTCCAGAGTCCCACTTAATTAGTTGGATTTTGTAATTGAAGATTAATAAGTCATTAAAAATTGTAATATAAAACATCAATAGGTATCTTGCATAAATATTTACCATATCGTTTTATTTATACACAAACATAATGTTTGTATAACAATATACATTTATATATATCATGCGAGATGGAGTCCTGACCAGTACTAAGACCTGGTGTTAGGATGTGGAGATCCTAGATGGATATTATGTAGCATTAGTTAGAAATCTCACAGTGACCAATTATTGTATCTTAATCTAGGAAGAATACATTTTATGGTTAACATTATTTGAGAATGATTTTGCTTGCATGATTGATTAAAAATCTTTCCTATCCATAATGATTTGTAAGTCCTGAATTAATCAGCTCCATCAAGTTTAAGGTTCTAGCTCTAATTTCTAATAACTGAGTTGTTGTGGTTTTCATTTCATTTATAGTTCGGTTCATTAACCCTATGTCTTCTTCTAGACTACTATGTTTTCTTTCCAAATCTAGTAGTTCTTTGTGCTTCTCGTTTTCAGAAATCTCTTTCTCTAATTTTTCTAATTGTACTTTAGCCATCTCTAGTTCCTTTAAATGAGTTATTTTACTTTCTTCTAATTGATGTATTTGGTTTGTTAATTTATTCTCTTCTGTTTCAAATTTATCATTAATTTTTTTTTGTGATTTATGTTCTTCCAATACATCTTTTATTTCTTTTGATTTTTCATCTAGTAATTTACAATCTTTAGTTTGATAAAATTCCATTCTCTCCAAATTTTTCAAAGTACTAAATGCTTTATGGTGTTCTTCTTTGAAATCTATTAAATCAGAAATTTCCGTTTTAATTTTATTCTCATTCAAATTTAAGTAATCAGTCATAGTGGGTATCAAAGACATTCTAACATTTATGTCAGATAGATAGTGTGTTATTTCTGATTTCAATAAATTTAACTTTTTAATCTCATTATTTTTTTTATGGTCAAAGTTTGATAAATAAAAATCAATTGGCTCTTTTTTGTTTGTTATTTCACCTTCTGATGATTTTAAATGATCAAGCACTTCCTGCAAATTATTGATTTGGTTAGTTAAGCTCTTTTGATTACATTCCATTTCTGCTATATCAGTTTTATCTTGCTTAGCAGTCTCTAAGATTAATTCCCGCTCTTTATTAAGTCTCATAGTAGAATTTTCATTCACCCCATTCCACTTTCCTTTCAGAGTCAATAGTTTCATTTCTAGTGGAATTATATCATCTATAAAAGGGGATTTGCATTTTAGTTTTCGAATTAATGAATCTTTAACTTTTTTATATTGTTCAATTTGTTTGTCCCAAAACCCAACAGCCATTGAACTTTGAGAAAGCCTGTTCTTAAAATAAATATATTGTTCTTTTTCATCTTCTGCATCAGGATGTGTTGAATTTATATTTTTTTTAACCCTTTCATTGCTTTCTATTTGTTGAATAAAATCTTCTTTCAGTTTCCTTTCATTGAAAAGTCCTTCAATTTTTCCTCTCTCCGAAATGTTCATTTCTTCTAATTGTCGAACCTCCTGCTCAAGTGCTTCAATATCTCCTATTCTATTTGCGTAGTCAAAAGCCAAATTCAAGCCAGACAAAATTTTCTGAAAGTTTGTTATTTCTGAGGCCAATTCTTTGGCTTTAGTTTCATAAGTTAATGAGTTAAAGTACTCTTGCTGAGCATCATTAAACATCCAGTGAAGTTTTTCTATTTCGAAACTAAGATCTCTTATTTTTGAATGAAGTGTTCCTTGAAAATGTCGAACGCCATGGAAATTTCTGTCTCTTTGTCCTCTGCTGGTAATTGGTCTTGCAGTTCCCAATTTCATGGACTCTTTTTGCGTCATCAATTGTTGTCTTACAGAGGTCATCATTGATAGGTTTTTTGTACATTGTTCAGCAATTTTTAATCCTGTTGTTTGGTTGGTTTTTAAGCACCTTGTTTCAGTCCTTCTAATTGCCGCTGTGCGAGGCGGCTGGAAAGCTTCTGCAACTATGCTCTCAATGAATCCTGTCTTGTTATTGTCGTCCTCGCTTATTAATGAGGAGGAACTGAGTCTTCTGGTTCTGCTACCACTTCTACCTTCTCGGCCTTCAAGACTCATAGCAAAAAAAAAAATTAATAAGTTTTGAATTATGAACAGATGATATTTGTTTAAAAATATAATTTTTTTAAACTTTCGGAACACGAAGTCTTATAACCAATTCAGGTTATAAAAACATATGTGAAATCATAACAAAATTGACTAAACTATTCGTAATTGATGTTAACTAACTTCCATTATGCTCTCTAAAAAGAAATTGATTTCCAATACCAAACCGTTTGGGCAAATATTTTTTAGAAGCCCCATCCTCGTTCAGTTGCCTTCAATGTTCTAAAATTTGACCAACTAAAATTTTTTTAAATACACTCAGAGAATGTCTGTCTTCCTTCTTGTTAAATAAATCGTTTTAGATGTTTGTGAGACCGTTACAACTACCGTTATAAACGCGATTTATAGTATTCTATATACATTTTTTTAAGAATTTTAAATCTATTTCGTAAGTAATTGATTTTAGGCGAAATATAATGAACTAATATTTCCTCAGACTGTGCCCCAGTAAATATTATTCTGTCAAACACGGAAATGTATTTTCGAAAATCAAATCATTCATATCCGTTAAAAAAATTTCCGATCCTTCAATTTTTTTTGTATTTTGCTTTCATACTCCAAATCCTGTCATTTTTCACGAAATCTGGTCAATGTCTAGTTTGCTTCTTTATACATTGAGAATCGACACTGACTTAAATTAGAGCTGTACTATATCATAAACTGAAAATAAAGTCATTATTAAAGTATTTGATTGTGTTATTATATTTAGCTAAACAATGACGCTCCCTCATTCAAGAAGTCTTAGTGAGAAGACTTCAAGCAAGAAAGTGTTCGTTTCAACAGCAAAAGATGCTCGCTATTACATTTAACGAAGGTACAGTACCAGAACGGAGGGTACGAAACTTGTTATATGCCGTCAGTCTAATGACGAATGAACTTCTTCAGGGATAATAAAAATTAAACTTGTCTTTAAAAAACATTAAGGTTTCTTTTAAATATCCCTAGCTAATTTTTATTTTATATTTAAGATTTATTTCAAATACTTTCGTGTTAGACTTTTCTACCTTTGGAAACACAGCTTTAGGTAAAACATGAGGTTTATGTTTTCAACAATTTAAATTGATCAATGATGCAGTATGTCCTTCAAGCTGACATCTTACCATCTCAGGTCTTCGTGACACTAGGACGTCTGTCGTCTAGAGATGGGATATCGAAGTTTATCTATACCACAAAAAACGATAGACTTAAAATATCGATAGTCGATATTTTCATCAATATAATAAACATTTTTTAATATCAATATAAATATTGATTCTTTAGCACATAGGTGCATCAAAAAATATGTCATTTCCTCTTAAAATTAATTAATAGAAATATCAATCCTTCTACCCACCTCAGTAAAATTAATTTTTTAGTTTCCATCTTCGTCATGCTCAGCTTTTTCCCAGATCCCACTCAATCAATTATTTCTTCCATTCATCCATAGATTGAATTAAGCGAAATGCTAATTTATTTGCATTTTACATAGATTTCTTTGACAATTCGTGGCCTTGGTTTGAAAAGGTTCTAACTATCAAATTTGGGCAAATTGAGTTTACTGAGTGAGAAGGCTCCCACGCTATTCAGCTCTACTTATGGATGGCCATCGATAGCTGATATTATCGAAATATCGATATTTTCCTCTACTACGCACTACATTCTATATGAAACCAGGCAAGATGAGTATAACTTTATTTCTAACGATAATCCTAAGATCTTTCCGAAAACGATAGTTTTATATTAAAATATTGATAGTCAATAATATCGAAGTAGATACCATCGATGATAAAATATAGAATATGCAAAGGAAAATATCAACATTTTAATAATATCTACTATCGATGGTCATCCCTACTGACGTCTTCTCAGCTTTCTCGGTCTGGTGTGTTCCAAAGAACAAGTTCTCTTTCCCCAGGTTGAAGTAACCTGAAAAGTGTGGTAGGGTATAAACACATGACAATGGGAGGTTGTATAAGTTTTTAAACAATGCGATTTATTAGACTTGTTTTTATTCTGTTATGCCATTCAGTTTTAAATAAAATTATAATCTGACTGAAGTATATACTTACATGCCTATTTGATTATGTAGCCAATAAAAATACTGAGAAAGCTATACCGGTTTATTTATTTTTTTTAAATTTATGTATTGCTAATCCTTTCACATGCATAATGAAATATATAATAAACTATATCACTTTTTAAATATAATTATTTGAGGGGTTTGATTTGCTGATATTCACTGTCCACAAGAAAGTAATAATCTTGTTGCCGCTCCCACAATTTATTATGAAATGAACATAAGCAATCTGTGTTAAACCAATTTATCAATTCAAAAACTTTTTAGCCCTATTAAATTTTCCAGTAGTTTTATATTGTATTTATTTTTTCCACCTAAAATTGGTTACTCATTTTTTTGTATAAATACATATTGTTAATTACATAAAGATGGGGGAGGGGAAATAACAATACGTTTGAAGTATAAAATAAACTGTTTAATCTGGTGAGGTATATTATGGTGGAAGTGGGCAGTACTTATGAACGTATACAAAGATGGAATGTATCAACACAAAAATGATTGCAAAAACACCATGAGGAGTTAGAGCACAATTTTGATTTCAATAATATTGAAATTATGCATAGATATAGAAAAAATGTTGCAGAAAATTGAAGTAATGCATAAATTTCAAAACTGACTCTTGAAATAATAGGAGATTTGTTAAATCATATGCCGAATAATAAGTAAACTAAAATAGATTACATTTTTCTATATATGAGTTTTGTAAGACATCTTAAATTTAAACCAAATATAATGATTTATTTTCATCATTCGGCTTGAATATTCTTAAAAAAATTAATCAAAAACAATTTGAGTTGAACCTATAAAACAAAAACTGATGTTTTCTCCACAAATGTCCGTCTTTCACAGAAGCCGCTAATATGATATTGATGTTATATTTCTAACTTTTAAATGTTACAATTTTATCTACCAGATTGCTGAACGATTACTGTTTTAATGAATTTTCAATTCAGTTACTACACACATACACACACACATATATATATATATATATATATATATATATATATATATATATATATATATATATATATATATATATATATATATATATAATTTTGGTAAATAATTTTTTTTGTAATTAGTCTATGTTATTTATTGGAATATGTGAATTTATGTAGAATATGTGAATTGTAACAAACTTTTCAAACTTTTCTTGTTTTTAAATTTTAAAAAACTACCAATAAAAATCTTGACCAAAAAAAAGAAGAAAAAAATTGTCTGAATCAGAAGATATTCACAAGTATTTAAAAAAATTAGACAGGTGGTAAATATGGATAAAGAAATATCTGAAAATAGCCAAGAGGCCGAAACGTATCAAATATATGTGATAACAACTAAATAAAAGTTTTTAATATTGATTAACAAATTTTTTTTGTTTATGTATTTTGAGATAAAAACTGATTCTGAAAATTTGTTAATTAAGTGTTAATTTATATTGTTCTGCTCACACCGCTCAACGGTAGAAAAGAAAACGATTAAGAACAAGATTTTTATTGTATATCAATCTACGTGCCTGTTGATTTCAAGCAGCAGCTATTTAATTAGGTACTGGAATGGAGCTTATTAAAGAACTGTATCTGAGCAGTTATAAATTCTGAGTTTATTTTATTATTAAATATTTTTTATGACAAAATAAATATTTTTTACTTCCGTTATAATTAAAGTTAACAATCCACAATTTTAATTCCCTTCTAATTACCCAAAGATCCATATATTTGTGAAAAAATACTCCAACTCTAATGGTGGCTATTCAAGAACTTGCAATTTCTTATAATTGGCCTCAATATCAGCCAGCGGCAGCTTATATCCAACTTCCAAGCGAGTTAAGTTAAAGCAAACTCATAAAATATTTTTACGACCACCCTCCTCGGTTCGGTAACCTATTTTCATAAAGTATATTTCTTCAAATGTATGTCCCTAGAAGCGTAAACTAGACTTGCTAGAGTACTGTTGCATAAATAGTGCAAGCGATGGTCAAAGACTTGGAACCACTGTGCAAAAAGTGAAAGGCTGTTTGTAATGTCCATCAGATCAGAGAACTATATTACTTGATTCCATGTTTAGAAACATGTTCATTAATAAGAGAATCTTTGTTAATCATTACTGAAACGTTTCTACCAACAAATAGGACCCACAACGGAACTCTATCCTATCAACCCAGGTAGTGTTGCCCAAAATCGGTCTTGGTCTTGCACTTTGCATGTATATAATTGATAACATAAGATATAATAATTTGCAGTTGCAAGACCAAGACCAGGATTGGTAAAAAAAAAATCGATTTTCTCAATAAAGATTGAGGAAAAATAATTACTAATACTTGACAATCTTAGTTACTATGCGTTAATAATTGATATAAACATTATAATTTTGCATTTAACTCTACTAATTTTTCATTCGAGCTTAGTTAGATTTCTCCTATCCAAAAAAAATACAGTAATATAAGCAATAAGCTAATAAGTAACTGCAAGACTGTAGCGAGACTCTTGCGCAAGACCAAGACTCGTCTCGGTTTCGCATTTGGGCAACACTAAAGCCAGAGCTCATATTTATGTTTTTACCAGGAGGGATTCGCCGCTCCTTAATTTATTATTACAGAACATAAATGTGTCATTATTTATACATCTTTCTGATCCGACTGAAAATTTATTTGGTCTTAAAAAAGAAGACAAATTTCAAAACTAGCTCAACTACTTTGTATAAAATAATCTCCATAAATTAACATCTCAATTCTGTGATTGGTTCTGGTTCTTGGACTAGCAAATTGTGGAACAATTTAAAAATTGAAAATTTAACAGTTCGTTTATATAATCGAATATAAATTGAAATATAAATTAAAGCTAGTAAGTTCGATTTTGAATATATTTGATTTCTATTATGTTGTAGTTCAAAACGT